CGGGTGCCACTGACTCGTAGGTCATATGCGATTTTCAAGGCAGGCCCGTCTCATCCCAAACAACTTCCTCAGTGGGATTGTATATGAAGTTCAAATTTTTTCGCCATTTCACTCGACAACTTTGCCTATTGTGACATGACTTTCCATTTTAAAGGAATTCGTGAAATGGTCTCACGGAAACAGATAAAGTATTCGCGGGGTGAACTCTGTAGAATTATGCGAAAATGTCCTCAACTCACCCTTCTGTGACCCTGAAGAAGCTCTGCTAAGCTTTTGTCTGTACCACTTTGACAGGCATTCTCAGAGCAATAAGTCATACTTTACGACATAGAGCAAAGATTTACTGAAGCAAGAGGAAATGTCATATATATATATAAGAAACTAAGAAATTCCTTGAAACCCTGTCTTTATTTAGAACTTTGATTACGAGATTTTCAGTAATTCTTGAATCGGAATTCGATCCCTCTAGATTCCCCAAACCGATTTATGGACTGAAAATTGAGTTTGCCCATAGTGGTATTAGTAGGGTGGCTAATTTCTTACTAAAGAATTAGTAAAACTATGGAAACATACTTGCAACCAAAATAAGAAACCTTGTCAAGTGACCTGGCAGATATATTTTTACATCTTCGACAATCTCACTATTAATGTAATTTTGAATACTCCTGGCTTGCTTCAAAAGAAATAGACTCATTTGACCGTACAACAGAGTCGTATTTTGTCACCAAGATGCTTATAATCTGGCTTCGAATCATATTGGATGTGTTCATGTGACCTAAAAAAGGTCAAAATTTCAGTCCACTTTAGCTGAGATTGACTTATGAGATACCTATGAAACTCCGCTCTCTCTCATCGAATTACCTTGAGCGATAAAGATTTACAAAATTCATATTCAAGAACAACGGACACTTTCGAAATATAGTAACATCAAAAATGCGCAAAAACATTTTGGCTCATGCATGCCGAGTTATATATATTTCTCACATATATATATATATATATATGGCACCCTTAAGCCACATCCACGGATGCCAGTGGGTCAAAGGGCAGATATAACTCTCAGAAAAAGTCAAGCCAGCTCGTGGTTTCCATTACAACCGAAGAGGTTGCTTAGAATAGTTGAATATTTAGATAATTACTTATATGTATGTTTATTGCTAGTAGTCTCAAAGCATAAATTTAACGAATACGCCTATAAAATCATAAGATTACGAAGTACAAAAGGTGGAAAATGACAAAAATAAATCGCTGAGGTAGATGGGAACAGAAAAACTAATAAAAAATTTCTTTTGGGTCTATAGTGAAACATGCAAAAAAAAACATGCTAAAATGCTAAAGGCAATGATAGGACTCGTAATGTGGACGTGCGCAATTTAGGAGGCCCAGAGGTAATAGATGTCGCCAAAAAATATGATGCAAGTGGCTCAACTTATGTACCAGACTTTCCTCCGTTAAAGACGATAACTTGACAACCTTTTTTTCAACTATTCTAGTCCTAGATATCACAGGAACAGGTATTTTCTTCGAAATTTTTGACAATGAAGATATTGAAGTTTTGCTTTTTTTACTTGGCACTATTTCACTAATTACATTTTCAGAGGACTCCGAATTTCGAGATTCTGAAATGTGAGTCATATTTCTGTGAGAAATATTGCTGGAGAACCGTCGCGAGGATGCCATGTGACAGCGATTAAGTTTCTTCTCTATGAAGAGCAAAATGTTAACTGGAGCTGGCATTGAGGAAGCCAACAAGTTAAGCAAACCTAACTTAGGCAGGCTATATTGGGCTGATTCAGAGACAAAAAGCACATATTTTAGACTTGGTGCACAAAGTAAAGACAGAAAGAGATCAGAATTATGGGGAGCTGTCGCAGTAGCAGCCGACGCCGCCTGAGGCTCGATAAGATCGGACCAAGGATTGTTATTGGAATATACAATCAGAGTTTCAAGGTTGATAGGCTGAATAGCTGGATCATTGGAAGAACCGCGGAGGAAGTAGTGCCAGGTTGGACAAAGACCACGCAATGGGTAACTTGAGGGAACTGTGGAAGATACGAGGAGTACAAGACTGCGTAGACGAGGACAGCAAGTCGGATGGACTATCTTTGTCAGACACGTGCCCTGAAGAAAAGCAATACAAAAGAATACCAAAATAGATTAAATTACAATATCTTTGGAAACCGATAACAGTTAAGGTATTTTTCAAAATAACTGTAAGGCGCCAAGTCACATCATTCAAAAAGGGCATAAAAAGCTAACAAAATCATACGGATGAGTACGATAAAAAGGAATGGTATTGTGCATATTAACTCATCTATTTACAACCGGTATAATCAAAATATTTTTAAAAATTAGTTGCAAATGATTTATGAATTTCTTGCATTTAGTTAGTCCACCGATAGTCTCTAAATCCTAT